GACTAAAAGTAGAGGATAAACTGTAAAAAAATTATGGCTAAAAGTAATTGACTAAAGGTTATGAATAAAGGGAATACATGGTTAGCTGAACAGAGGCTAATATCTTTTGAAATAGTTAGTCAAAACAAGTGGACGTGGTACTTGAGTTTATCTAACAGGACCTTTTGTGTACATCTGACAGAAATAAATTGATTCAATCTGCAGGCATCACTCGACAGCCTAGATGTTTCAGTTAGTCTTTGTGGTGAGGGGGTTGCAGCCCTCTTCAAATTAGCAGGCAGAGAGCAGAGCCAATGCTAAAATCCACTTCCTCTTCCTGTTTGTGTTTCAACAACAACATGTGATCAGGCTTTCACAGGTAGTGGATGTCAGAAAGTGCAGCAGAACTGAGAACATGCACATCTGCTTTCTGTTTACCCGTATAATCTTGTTCAACAGTCATTCCTGGCTGAAAGGTGCTTCAAGGGTCTTTTCACATGAGCTCTTTAATGCTGGTTGGCATGATGAGTGCTTTTCCTTGTTAGTCATGGTGGCGGACTGCAACTCAGCAAATGCCATCGATATGCAAGTGTCATCACTGATGAAGTGCTCTCCATCTTATATTTTCTCTTCCCTTTCATTCTATTCATCGACCACCACTCCATGCTGCTTTTCTGCTTTTAATCAATTTCCATGCTCTATCAGTAAACATGCTCTTTGGGTCACAGTAAGAGCATTCCTCGCTCTGAGGACTCTTTTTCAGACAGCACATGCTCTGGCAATAGTGGAATTTATTCCTTTTACACTCAAGTTTCTTCATGCTTTTTGTGAAGTCACATCAAGGCCAATAAATAAGTAAAGTATATTTCTTATTAGGACACTATGATCCAACAAGGGTCCAGGAAAATGAAGTGCAACCCTATTCATCAAAAGCTCTCCAGGCTGTGCTTATCTGGGTCTTTATGTATAACATTGGAAGTCTTTACATTCATGATGCACGTGTAAGAAGAGTGTTGGTCCTTCACCTTATCTTCCATTGTGGATTGGAGAGCACCCCGTGCTGCGCAAAGCTGTCAGTCACCAAAAACACTTCAAACTGTGCTTTACCATTGTGTGCAACAAACATGTTGCTGTCTCGAACAGAGCGTTTTCAGACATTGTTCGCAAAATAATTGCCTGACACTCAGTCCACAAACAGGGCCAACATAATGGCAGCAACACAAAGACATAGAATAGACCAAAGATTGCTGTCACCTATAGTCACCACATAGTCATCCTCGGAGATAGAGTAACAGATTTGATATTTTCAGTACAGAAATCAGGGTCAAGGGTGTGATAAGACTTTGGTAAATAAAAAAGGGGGATTTTACAATCCTGTGCTTGGTTATTTTGGCAGATGATGAGCAGGGGTTGAGAGGTAGGACGATTACTGATGGAGGCCCAGTGGTCAGCAGCACAGCATGGGGTTCAGACTGTGTTTTTGGGGGTGTGTAGGGGTCAGTTTGTCTCTCTGCGATCCCATCAGCAGTGAGCTGAGCTCTTAATGCGGCCCTGACGCCTCGCTGGCGCAGGGGCCACGCTGCCTCACATCTGGAGCCAATTACCCTGGAGGGGCTGTGACAGAGCTCCCCCCCCCCCCCCCACTCCGCTGTCCAACACAGCTCCGACCACTCTCACAGTTACATTCCTCCATTTTTCACAACACCACTCTTTATTTTTGTCGGTCCCCCTTTCCTCTTCTCCTGCCCTGCCTTGACAAAAAAAACACATCCTCTACTGATCAAGGATTTCTTCTTAATTTATCAGCTGATTAGAGAAGAGTATCAGGTGAACTAAAGATATAATCATTTAATATATATAATAACATGAACTTACACACATATCCCCTCATTTCCATACAGCAGCTCTAAAGACTGAACACTAAATACTCATGGCCTTCTCATTGTGGTAGAATTGTATGCACAATAGTACGCTTTAAGTCATGTGTTCCTGTGGTAGAGCACTGGCAGTAAACACCACTTGTGAATATAGCACATTTAGCACCAAATCTGATTTTACAGGTGTGATTTATGGAGTGCCCCTGCTTCCACGCTGGCAGCCCCAGGGGTGTGTGTGTGTGTGTGTGTGTGTGTGTGTGTGTGTGTGTGTGTGTGTGTGTGTGTGTGTGTGTGTGTGTGTGTGTGTGTGTAGGCTTTTATACCTGAGGAGAGGCTGGGGTCTTGTGACTGTGGGATGGGGGTTAGTTCCACTGCACAGTGACTGATGGATGTAATTGAGTTTGTGGTGGTGCAGGGGGTGTGGTGGGGTGTATACTAGCCCCGCAGGATTTCTCTCACAGGGGTCAAAAGAGTTGGGAATGGGCTTCGCCAAATTCTGGGCCATGCTCTCCTCTCCCCGCTGCCCTGTTTGGCACCAATGCTATGGTTCATTAGCTGCAGCTATAGGGTGTACCTGGGCAGGGAGCCAGAGGATTGAGCTGTCCTGGGTTACACGGACATAAATCGGAGCGTAGGCTGTGAAGTGAATGTGGAAACTCTACAGGTGGCTGAAATTAAGTCATATACACAGATTCGGCCTGAAATATGACAGGCTTCTGGTAGCTGGCTCTGTGCTTGTGTGCAATAAAATGTTGAGGAGATACATCAGAAGTGTATTCATTCATGTGTGTCACACGTGTCTGTGTGTGTACATACACATGAATCCCACAAGACTGTCTTCTCAGATCTGTGTGAGTCATGTGAAGTTGCAGACTTCTCCCATGGGTGCATAATTCAAGATTTGGCAACCACTTACAGAGAGGAGGTTAGACTGGAATGAGGAGGAAGGGATGCAGGGCGGGAGAAAGAGAGGGAGACTGCAGGTAGAACAAAGAAACAAAACAAATCATTCAAGACCATTAAAGTGCCAGCTCTGGCTCCAGGGTAAGACAAGGGAGAGAGGAAGTGAAATAAAGTTGCTTCATCATAGAGACCCAAGCAGCGAGGAGGAGGGTGGGAAAAAGTATGTAACAGTCTTATCATGCCATCTGCTGGACAATGTGACAACTGTTTATGCACTTATCAATTTAGTTTGTGACACATTTTGCAAATTTTGCACATATTTAAGAATGCTTGTAAAAAGAAAATATATATATATCAACTAGAATATTCTGAAGCGTTTCACTCTGTGATTTAAAGCTTTTAAAATGATATTACTTAAAACATTGCAAAAATAGATTTTTTTAAGGCTGTTTTCTGATGTATGGAGTCATCCCTCTATACAAACCTGACTCTAGTATATCAACCAAAATAATATGCATCTTTGTTCTTTGCTCTATGTTCAGATGTATGTCCTGGGTGTTTATGCAAATTAGTTTGTGTATACATTTCAGTATTTTGTAAAAATGCATTGTTAATTTACTTTAAATAAAACCATGGAATCAAGTTATGCGGTGCTACGTATGAGTTATATATATTTTTTTCGGTAGGGTCTCTTCATAAAATATTTTCTTACATGGAGCTTCAGTGAACAGGTACTCTCACCACTCACAATTTATAACCTCTTACGTATTGTCCAGGCTCACAAATACCATTAAAAGACCTTGACTCTAAGGTTAGCGTGAACGTATTCGCATGTTTACGCTTGTTGGTTGAGGTGATCTGCAGCACCAATTCCAGGTGCTAAATGTTTCACTTTGACCCGTCAGGTCCATCAGAAAATGTCAAGCCTTTGCTGCTGATGGCTTTGAGTGTATTCACACTCCTTCACCGAGGCAATCCGCTATCTGCGTGCTTTATCATTACGACCTTCTCTGCTCAGTAAGGTCATGTCTGAGATGTTGTTTACAAGACAGTCTGTATCCCAGGGATGTGTAAGAACTGGGACCCAGGCCCTTTATTTATAACAGCTGGAGCAGAGCAGAGAGATGGGGAGCGCTGACATTTGGCAGAGTGGGGTCAGAGGTCAAGTCTAACACCAATAAAGTGGAGACTTTGATCCTGGCATTTATGGATGGAGCAGGCAGAGCACTTTCAGAGAGAGGAAGAGAGAAAGAGTGCGAAGGAGAGAGAATTGCATTTAAAGAAGATAAGAAAAAAGGATAATACTGAGTAGACACTAGAGAAAACAAACAAAAGCAGCACATATTGCATTTGAAAAGCTGGACTTAATTATGTTCAGTATTTTGGACTTTTTTTCCCTAGTCCTAACTCTGACTTTTATATCCTGATGATTGACTTTTAATTAGAAAAATCATGTCATCACAAATGTAAACCATCACAGGTTGTTCTACAGTTGTGATGTCAGTGTGACACAGCATTTCATTTTACCTAAATGCATGAGTAGAATTGTGTTGAGTCTAAATGCACTTTGAGCTGAACCATATCCATATTCTCCTTTTTTCAATCTCAAGCTACTCAAAGTAAAACCATTTGTTGTCTCTCTTTTCTTTTAGTCCCCCAACATTATGATTAATTTCCCTTTTAATTTCCAACATGAATGAGGAGTCCCGACTTTTGGCTTCTGGGGGAAAAACACGAAATGCATTTATTTATTATTAATATTTACAAATACATTCAGCCCTAAAATTACAGCCATTAATTGGTATGCACCATAGGAAATGATTTAGTGTTTTTCTGGCAAGGTTAGTTTTAGTACATTTACGCAACAAAGAAATTGTTCTACGCTAAAGATCAAAAGCAATACATTGAAGTGCAAAATAAACAAATCTTAAACACAAAAAGAGCAAAGACAACATTTGAAAACATAGGTATAAAATGTAAGATTAAAGGTTACAGTGCAGAATTGGATAACTAAGAAAGAAAGGAAGGAAGGAAGAAAGCCCTTTTCTGTCATTTGCTATACTGTCCGCTAGACGGCGCCATTTCTCCACTCAGCACAGGACAGGTGAGCCTTCACAACACCTTCAGTGGTGCATCGTGGTGAACGTAGTTCCAGACTCCTCTTTATAAACTAAGAACTACAAATCCAACCATGTGACATACCAATCCAACAGTGACAGGTTGTGTTTGTCGTGTTTGTGTGTTTTCTGTGACTTTGTTACGCGGAACTGGCGCCTCCTCTGCATGTATGTGGTGTGGCTTCCTCCTTACTGAAACTTCTTGCAAACAGGTTCACACCGAGACAGAGGAGCGTTGTGTGTCAGAAACATATCCGTGCTGAGAGTCGCCTGGAGCAGGTACAAATCAGAATGAATGCAACAAAGAGCAGACAGTTGGAGCGTAAACTATGAACCCATCTTTCATTGGTCAGTGTTGATATGAAGTGCGCATGAATGTTCTTTAATTTATTTTTTCCGCATTTTGAGTGTTTTTTTCGCCTTTGGCTGAACTAGCTGTGTGAACATGAAGTTTAATGGCTATCTGAAGCTCCGGATCGGTGAGGCGGTGGGCCTGAAGCCCACCACCTTCTCCCTGCGCCACTCGGTCATCTTCAACAAAGCCCCCCCCGGCCTGGACCCCTACATTGTAGTGAAGGTAGACGACACGAAAATTGGACAAACTCTCACCAAACAGAAAACCAACACACCGACGTTCAACGAGGAGTTCTGCCTCAACGTGAGCGACGGGAAACAAATCGAGTTGGCAGTCTTTCACGATACTCCCATCGGATATGATGACTTTGTGGCCAACTGCATCATCCAGTTTGAGGACCTCATCCAAACCTCCAACACAGGAGAGACCTTCGATGGATGGGTGAGTGCGAAGTAAACACTGCCTAGTAAGAGCACTTATTGTAAACATGGTTTCAGATCCTAATGACCCTAATCCGGGCCGGATTCCTTTACTACGATGATACACATGTATCCTTGGGGCCCCCCTGACACATCCCCACCCCAATATCATTCAACTAAATTATTTCCATTATCGATTATCTGCCTTTTATTCCCTCCATTGATTGTTTTGAAAAAGTTATTTCCCATTTCTCTAAGTCCAAAGTGATATAGACTGCAATTTGTCGTCATAAACCCAAATATATTTAGTTTAATTTGATATAAAACTGAACAAAATCAGGATGTCTCCATATTGGAGGGCACACCACCAATTTTTCTGGCATATGCATCAAAAAATAATATTAACAATCCTTTTTAATGGTGATTATTTTACTTATTGATTTGTCAACACAACACAATAACTGCCCCATGTTTAATGTGTTTCAATGATGGTTATCACATCGTGACAATGAGAAGAACAAACACATCCATGGCTGAGATATCGGCCTACTGACACAATCATTAGGGTTTAAGGAGGCAGGGGGCACTTAAACCCCCACCAGTCCAATCTCATATTTTGGTACAGGAACCTATAGTCTCAAATTTCAAACATGAATATTCTAATAGTATTTCCCAATTTACTTTACTAAAATGTAGTTCCTGTAGGTAGATTGAAAATGAAAAGTCAATTGAGAGGTCAGAAGTTATGTAGACTCCTTATGGGACATTATAGTAACTGTGAATATTTTAATTTCTCCTAAACAGTGTTTGAGAGCAGGTTCGGGAAACAAACATGCTAATTTGTTCACAACACATCTCCCCATCACTGTGAGTAACGTTGGCTGTTGTTCTTGCTGAAAACATCCCCACTACCTTGTATTCACAGTGTTCACACCCTCACATATTCACATCTTCATGTCTGAGTTTGGGCAGTATGTAGCGGACATGGACCTCTCATGTCTTGCACTCATTGGCTTAGAATCTTCTACTTAGATCATTGGCCAATGTGGTCTGAAACCACATGAGCCACCTCTGTGGAAAGGTGCGAATTCTGCTCATAAAGACTTGTTATTCTTCCATGCAGAGTGCACAATCTGACTTGCATCAGACTTGCCTGCGCAACATTTGACCTACATGTGCAAATAAATGTGTGGTGATAAAACTCCCACACTTCCTAATGCACAGTTCAGGATCAAAAAGGCACCACATCAAAGCTCAGATTAAATGCTTTACGTAGAGTATCATATTAGTCTCACTGTCTTCCAGACATACACAAAAAACTGATCACCTGGAGTTTCCCTGGTCTTGCTTATTTGCATCCTTCTAGGATTATTAGCCAGTGCAGGTGCTGGTGAATGTAACCTGAGCCTGTCTCGGCCCGCTGGTATCACTACCTACTGCTGCATTCTCATCACATACAGCTTTCTCTCTTCTACTGACATTTGGCTTCCGACAATACAGTTTTTTGAATTATGCAGCAAAAAGTAGTTTTGGGGGCAAATGCTTAAATACCAAAAGTTTAAATGTAAAAAAAAAATCATAATTAAAATGTAAATTCTGTCCACCTTACCTCACTGACCATCTGTCCACTTCTGTATTTGATCACCTCACACCAGACATTTACTATGACCTTGCAACGCACTGTCGAAAAGTTGCAGCGATATGGAGTTTGACAAATGTGGCACTTACACACATTTTCACTATAATTATAGAATTTTCAATATAGCTTGACAAGTATTTCAACAATCGAGTATGGTTCCCTTAAGAACGTCCATGACAAGACGCTATATTTACCACTTGCTTTGACAAAGCAAAACAAACACATACAAAAGAGATTAAAAAAAAAGTAATGAAAACATTTACAAATAAAGAATGTACATAAATTATTATATCAGTAAATATTCAAGGCTAACAAGTTTCTCTTCCTCCAGCATTACATTAATTATATGAGTAAAAATGATGATACATACAAATCTTTATGTGAAAAATGTACATGTTTATGTATATTTTAAGCAGTACATTGACAAAGAATTAAATTCAAAAAATCTTTAGAGAAAGCTATGCCCACACCTATACCAAGACCCTCAAAAGTTAAGGGGAGGTGGTGTGAAAGTGGGTCGCGCCTTGCAGTTTCAGAACATGTGATTAACTTTCTCACGAAAAGACCCTTGCTTGAAGTTGTTATCTGCTAAATCCTAACTGTGAAAGGTTTTTTTTTGCACAAGAAGTGCTGGGCTGGTTTGTTTCAAGTGTGAGGCAGCAGAGACCGAGGCTCAAGCCTGCACACGCCCACGCTGCTGCTGCTTATCACAGCGTTCCCATCACCTGAATGCTGCTTGAGGGCTCACTATGAAAATACTCACTGTCAGTGCTCCATATATCTCTCTTCACCCCCGTCTGTACACCGAGTCCAGTTTGATGAACTTAAACCCCAAAAACACTTGATCTCTAGTCATTCAACTCCTTCTTTTATCTTGAAATCATTGTCAGCGCTGACATCATCAGTCTGAGACATTCACCATATGACATCTAGACACATGAGGCCAGTTTCCTTTGCCTGTGTTGTGACATGTTTGACTCGTTCCACTGAGCTCTTTAATTTCAGAATATGTAGGTTTCTTTAAGCAATCAAGTCCTTCTGAGGAGCGTTGAAATTGAAAATAGGTTGAAGAAAGCCCCTCACATTTTCCAGCAAAGAGTACTGCTTGCTCGACTGAAACGGGACCCATGTCCTGTTTAAAAAAAGAAAGAAACTTCCTCCTTTGTGATGCAGCATTAAGTGTTCTGCTTTTTACCTACATTGTTATGCTGCTTTCACACACTTCTATTTTAGAGTTAAAAGAGTTAACCGTGCATTTCTAAAGTATTGTGAGTGACGGAGGACAAAATTCACAGTCTTCAGAGGCCGTCTTAACTTAAAGAAATTCAATTTAATTAGATGATTAAACCAGATCAAGGTTCAAGGCTTTTATTGGTCATGCGTACATAGCTACAGTGTAGTTATGACGATGAAAATCTTAGGTCACAGCAGTCCAACAGTGCAACACAATAAAACCGAAAAACTGAAAAAATAGTGCAAGTAAATACAACAAGAACAAATATGTTACTACGATATAGTGGAATAGCACAACAAGAGTCTATATGCAAGTGATTGAATATGATATATTAGGGAAGGCAAGGCAATTTTATTTATATAGCACCTTTCAGCACGCGACAATTCAAAGTGCTTTACAAAATAAAAACAAAAGACATTTAAGAATAAATACAGCATAAATACATTATTAAATGGCATTTTAAAAACAGGCATAAAAAGCAAAGATAATGAAATAAATAAATAAACACAGCAGGTACAGAATACATGAATAAAAGGCATACTGCAGTGTGAGTATGAATAGCTCAATTAAAAGCAGTGGCAAAGAGATATGTTTTTAGTCTGGATTTGAAAATAGGAAGTGTTTCAGCGGACGTCAGGCCCGGTTCCAGAACAAAATGACTCAGGGTGCATCTGAGATTAGAGAGGGTGCAGTGGTAAAGTGCTATTTTTATAAGTGGGGAGTGGACCTAACACCCTCTAGGGGTGTCTTCACCTCCTCTAGGGGGGTCCGGGGGCATGCTCCCCCTGGAAGATTTTTTTTTTTTTTAAATTGAAGTTAAAAGCATCAATCTGGTGCATTTTCAGAGCAAAATGAAGAGATAAGGATACATCTCAACACCCATATGAAACAGAACTATAAACAGATTTACTTTTTCTTTATGGATATTTTACAAATCACTCCCCTTTTAAGACCGAAATGTCTACATGCATAGCAGAAGATGACATGTTTTTTACAGGAATATTCCAGCCAATCTCTGTTTTGAAACCATGTGCTGCAAAATGAGCGCCTTACCCCACTGTACAGGCGAGTTGGGTACTTTTTTAAATATACCTGGGCAGGCTCTGTTTTGCCGAGGTCCTCTGACACTTGCGGGCCACCGAGGGGTGGTGGTGTTTGGGGCAACGAAGACGGCTGCGGATGCCCCGCCTCCGTGGGTGAGGCGGGCAAAGCTGGCGAGTCGGGCGGGAGGACGTTAGTGTCCCCATGATCTGAACTGTTATTACATGTCTGAAACTCCGGATAGCCATTATCGCTGCTTTTCCATGTTTAGTTCTTATTCTTGGAACAGAGAGCAGACCCGACCCAGAGGACCTGAGACTGCTGGATGGTTCATAGTTATGCAGGAGATCGTCTATAAACCTCGGTCCTAAGCCATTTAGTGATTTAAAAACTAGCAATAGTATTTTAAAATCAATTATTTGGTCGACTGGAAGCCAGTGTAAAGACTTCAGAACCGGACTGATGTTACATAAATCATTTCTAAATTGCAGCCAGATTAATGTTGTGGATGTTGTTTCAAAAGTTCAGATGTTTAACAGTCTTATGGTCTGTGGGATGAAACTGTCTCTGAGTCTGGTGGTGTTAGTCCTGGTGGTGTTAGTCCTGATGCTGCGGTACCGCCTGCCAGACGGCAGCAGACGGAACAGTTTGTGGTCGTCATAATAACATCTTCTTTTAAATAAGTCATTCAGCATGAAAAACTAGAAAACAACTAAATATATCTTGCTTCACTTAGATCAAATTGACAGAAAAGGTGAACGCCTTCATAGTTCTGTGATAAAATTCTTTCTTAAGGCAAGCCTCTAGCCAATGTGTAAGGTTTTGACAACAGATTTGACAACAGCTTGTGTTGAGCTATTTCACTAGAAAGAGATATTTCTGAAATGCTTTGCAGCTCTTTAGTTTCTGTAGCCCATGGCTAGAGTTAGCAAAGGTGAAAACACCAGAGACAGGAAGTCAAACTTTAGGTATAGAGTGTAGATCCAGAAAGAGGATATGACCAGGTTACTTAAAACAAAACAATTATAGATAAAGTGATTGAACCCTGTCATGAAATGCTTTGTGGCTAACCATTCTTTTCCAGGTGGGTGTGTGTGTAACATAAATAGCTCCTTACAGTGACCTAAGTTTCCACTCAGTGGTTTCTACAGGAACTATCTCCTGTTCTGTGTATCCATCTCTAAAAAGACCATTTTCTGTATGAAGTTCTTTAAATGCATATTCAGACGTTTGTAAGTCACTCTCAGCTGAGCGTCAAATCACAACAAACTCTGCCACCAGCCCGACCTGCCAGACCTGCTTTGTTTTCTCTCTGCCGCGGTGTCCAAATTCCTCAGACATTAAGTACACACTGAAGAAAGATATCTCATCTCATACGCCTGTTTTAACCCAGTTACTTTCATTAAAGCACTAACGCGGAATAACAAAACGCATAGTTATATAATGCCATATTTCTGTTCTACTTTTGTCCGATATATATGTCATTTATTATACAAATGTTGATTTGGTGTCGTATAATTTTAGAGTATACAAATATCTGTTCCATACTGTCTCCGTTTGGCTATTTGACTATGCAAAATGTAATTGCCCTCTCTGTTTGTGTGTCTGCAGATGGACTTGGAGCCAGAGGGCAAGGTTTACGTTCATATTGCACTCACTGGATCCTTCATTGATGGTAAGGCTGCTACTGTGGATCTAAAGGCAGATTCATGTTTCCTCCCATGCAGAAACAGCACTCAAACACTTTTCCGTTTTGTTTCTTTTTCACATCCACTTTAATAACGATTATACCACCTCATTTAGGAACCGTCTTGTCTTTTCCAGTCTGACACACTGACGCCTGTTTTTAGATAATAATCAGATATCAGCAATGAAATACATAGTCCAACTGTGTAGTAATAATAAAAGACGCTTGACAAAAAGTGTGAATCCATGTTTGTGTGTGACTCGGGAGGTTAGTATGTGTCTGGTATGTCAGATATTTCTATGATGAAAGGAAAGCTTTCTTTAGACGTCAGAAGACTCCAACACTGAGGACATCTTTAGCAGAGATATCTATGTCATGGTTTCACAATGAGTTGAAGAAATGAAATAAGACGAGAGGGAAGTGACCTTGCAGGACTTTTGAAGCAGAAGTCTTGTAATCTAGTGGGTACTCTGCCTCTGATGGTACACCTTTCTAATCTGCTGCCAGCATGCCTCACTACCTGCCAAACCTCACAAAACACTAACATTTTATTTAATCATAAAGAAATAAATGAGATAGGCCTCAAACAATAGAGATGTTCAGCCTTTCTTTTTTAAATAGATAGTCTCTGTGCCTTTTTCAATAGTATTATCTAAACTTTAAATAGCTTGTGATTCAAAATAAGATTATTCTATTGATATATATTATTATACGTGTGCAAAATGAGTAATAAGTCTTCAAAAATGTTTTGATGCAATGAACGGCTTTATTTCTATTTGTTACATCAGGAAAACTATTTGCTCATAAGAGAAACAAAAGCTCAAATGACGTTTGTTTGTGCACATTAAAATATCCTCAGGGTCATTCATTTGGAAAACCACAAAGTATGTTCCCCTCATCATGCGAATTACACTGATACTTAAAGGTGGGGTAGGTCATTTTGGAGAAACAGTTATTTTAGCTTGACCGGCTAAAATGATTGGTCGTGCTTTTTACAGCTTCCACAGATGACATTTTTGTATGGATTTGTTGTCAAAGCACTTAAGATATTCATTGCTATCGGGATATTAAGAGCATTCCATGGAATATAACAAAAAGTGTATCTCGAGCCGGTTTCTCAAACTTACCTACCCCACCTTAATAAGAAGAATGTAAACGAATGGGTTTATTATTGTACAATTGACCTCTTTCATAGAAAATCTAAGCGGTTGAGCATATGATAAAAGGTTTGTAGAGTAAAAGCGTGCTGTTCAAAAAACTTTTAACACTTCTACCACAAATATGCTGTTTACAGGGGGAAGGCGGGGGCTCAGCGGTGATGTTTCCGCAATGTATGTGTGGTTTCTCATCATCTCACTATAGCTCTACAACACTTAGCTTATACTTTAGTCAAGCTACAACATAAGGAGCCAAAACAGAAAGCTGCACAAAGGTAGACGTAGAAGACACAAATGTACACAATGCTATGTGACATTTTAATTATATCTGTCTTACATTCTTGTCCTGTATGTTAGCTGACCTTTGTCACACAACAGCTAGGGTCGGAAAATAAATCGATTACATTCTTCTTATTCCGATATTTGTTTGCGTTTAAAAACCTTTTTGAGAACTTCATGTCAAAGAGGGAGTATTGCACCTGGCATTGGCAAATATTTAAAAAAGATTTCGGAAGATTGGCTTGTACTGAAACAATTTGTTGATTAATGATTAGTCCATCATGAAAAGAAAATGACCTTTTTATTCATTTACTTCATATTGTTATCAAGCAAGAAGGCCAAAATAAATTAAGCTTCCAGCTTCTGAAATGCAAAGACTGTCTATTTTTCAGTGTTTAGGTGATTCTATATCGAGCCAATCTTACATTTATATCCCTTTACATTAATCTGGTGACAAATAACCATAAACACCCATGTCACTTTCTGTAAAGATCACAAAAAACAAAACAAAAACATCTGGAATACTTTTAGTTGAAATTGAACTTTGTAGCCAACACAAATCTAACAATAATCACACTGTCATCGAGCGCTCTGCACCATGCCTGTGGAAACTATGGCCCTATAGATGCAGAGCGCTACACCGCGTTAACCAGCCAGTTGCTAAATGTGTCTGTCTACTGTTCGCTGCAGAGCACGTAGAGTACAGCGGGTGGTCTGTGGGGGCTTTTCAGGCTTGAATAGCAGCCTGTCGTGGCTGAAAATGACGCTATTAGAGCAAAACTAATTACAGTTCATCGTGGGTGTCTGCTATCACGTATAGTTGTAGTAATGTGATCAATTTTTCAAATAGAGGTATTGATTATATCTGCTTTAAATTAATCCCACAACATTATGGCGGTTATTGATTCTAATTAGCATTAACAATCTTTATTTATAGCACTTTTTAACAGTATTAAAAAAATATATACAATTATAATAAATAATGATAATTATTATGAAATAATAGCAGTAATTAAATACAATATAATGAATACATTTAATTTATTATTAGTAATCACACAGAGAGGTAGGTTTTTTTTAAAAGTTCTTTTGTCGCTCTCTTTTTGTTTTCTCTTTTGCTCTTAACAAACTTTCCTTGTCATTGTTTTCTGTCAGACGACGCCATAGTGAAAGAGAAGAAGAAGCAGTTCACGAGGAAGCGACAGGGGGCCGTGAGACGGAGGATCCACCAGGTCAACGGACACAAGTTCATGTCTACCTTCCTCCGTCAACCCACCTTCTGTTTCCACTGCAGAGAGTTCATCTGGTGAGAGTCCCTGCTGTCTGCACGCACAGTATCTGTGTGTGGACTGTAAACTGGATCTCACTGTGTCTGTTTCTCTGTTCATAGGGGTGTATTTGGAAAACAGGGCTACCAGTGCCAAGGTGAGCAGACATTATGTTCTCTTTCTGCCACAGTAAAAGCATACATCTATCCCAAAAGCACAATTTGTATAACATAGAAAAAGTAGAGAATGTTTCAAATGAATAGAAGTAAATGGGGAAAACATTTACCAACAGCAAAACGATATCCAATCATCAGTTTACAAACTTTCATAAGACCCCTGCATTTTATCCCAAGTCTGATCTTTAAATAGTTAGATTTTCCTCTAAACGCTTGTGTTTAGACGGTACTGAGTATACTTCTGGTTAAAATAAGACTTGGATTAAACTGCAAGAGTTGTGTATTGCAGGACCAAATGTATTTAAATCCTCCAAACTATTCTCAGATTCAAATAACATTGACAAACAAATGAGCATTTATCATTGAAGATATCCTTAAAACATGAGTTGAGAGTTTGACGTTGAGTGGTTGTTTTCTCCAGTGTGTACCTGTGTGGTTCACAAAAGATGCCACCAGCTGATCGTCACCATGTGTCCACGCATGAAGAAAGAAATCAAAGAGCAGGTAAGAACAATTTAACACAACACTGTCTGTACACAGTTACACTAGGCTCTTATAGCAGCAGGATTTCGACTCAATACAGATCATTTGGTCAATAACAAGGTAATGAGTGTGTCAGAAGGTTTCAGGGACACAAGCGTGTTACAGCTATTGTTTTTCACCTCTCAAGTAATTTGTGTGTAATACAGGATACACACACACACACACACACACACACACACACACACACACACACACACACACACACACACACACACACACACACACCCCTAATTAACAGCTGCAGCAATCAGCAGACCGTACAGGTTCCTGTTTCTGTGTTGAGCTGATCACTGAACCAGAACACTATAGTTTTCCACCCATGCTTTTTTTATACGTTTCTATAAATACATGTGATCTTGTTTTAGCATTTTAAACGTGTCACTTTTGCTCCGTCTTACTATTTTCTGCTGAGCGTGACAAGTTTCTCTTCCTTTGGGAAATTCAGAGAGAAGCAAATGCAGCAATACACTGAAAGGGGGTCCGAGTGTGACACAAATAGGAACTAACATTCCCCTCAATGCACTCTGTGTGACAATTTGAATGTGAACATGTGTAGGTAAAAATACTGTTACCACCCCCAGTGGTTAGCGTACTGTATATCTTCTCTCCGCAGCCTGTAGCCCAGGGCTTCAGCATCAACATCCCTCACATGTTCAGCATCCACAACTACAAGTCGCCCACTTTCTGTGACCACTGTGGCTCCCTGCTGTGGGGAATAGTGAAGCAGGGGCTGCACTGTAAAAGTAAGACCCTTATCAACATCTGTCCCTCTAAATCTTAAGTTTCTGTAATGTGTCTCTTATTGAGTGCTTTTGTCTGCGTTTTCTCTCTGCAGTCTGTAAAATGAATGTTCACATCCGCTGCAGAGGCAACGTCGCTCCAAACTGTGGGGTCAACAGCGTGGAGCTGGCCAATAAGCTCGCAGAGATGGGTCTGCAGGCCGGAGGACTCTCGAAACGCAACTCATTGGTACAAAGCCTGAGTTTTACCGAATGAGTCTATTCAGTTTTTATTTTATTTAGATGTGGTTTCAATAGGGCTGATCTAAGTGGTGTTTCTTTATCTACTTGTTTTCTGACAGGCCAGAAGTGCCAGTCACATAGGGGGGCCCACAGAGAGGAGGGAGAGTAAAAACAATCAGGCGGAGACCCCTCGACTGGGCATCTCAGACTTCACGTTCCTTCAAGTTCTCGGAAAAGGCAGCTTTGGCAAGGTGGGAATAATCAGAAGATATTGAAGAACATATCCTCATCTTTCTGATAGGACTTGTATCAAGTGGAAGCAATATTTTGAGAAAACAATGTGCATCCTACTGTGTTGTATCTGCAGGTGATGCTGGCGAGACTAAACGGCAGAGACCAAGTGTTTGCGGTCAAGGTTTTGAAGAAGGACATCATTTTGCAGGACGATGATGTGGACTGCACCCTGACTGAAAAGAGGGTGCTGTCCCTGGCCGGCTGTCACCCCTACCTCACACAGCTGCACTGCTGCTTCCAGACGCCGGTCAGTACGGGTCCACCACACATGCATTTATAGAGCAGTTTAGTAAGCTTTTATTGTAGGTGAAATCATTTCTTTCATTTTTTTTCCATCTCCCTTGCTTTCCTGAAGAAATGCTTTGAGATGAAACGGTGGGATGAATAAGTGTTTTCACTTGATAAGAGCACCATGCTAACAAAGGCTGTCGTATCTCTCTAAACTCTTTATACTGTATTGCAAAAATTCCAAGCCTGAATTGCTAAAGAATGAGCTGCATATTTTCCACAAAATAAAGTGTTGGTTTAGTCTCTTAGGTATATTTATTGTAGTTCACTTGCACAGAAATATAAAATCATATCCCACTTTAAATCTCTTATATGCCAATGTTTAATATGTTGCTTTCATTATACCAGTTTTCTGTTGTATAACCCTTGTGTAATAATTCTAAATTAAATGAATGTTTTTGTAAAAGTCAGTCACTCAAGCTCTAGGTTTTTATATTAACATATTCCTTTAAGCAACACAGTGCTTTGGTAGTCATCATTTGGCACAGTTTCCATTCTTATATCATAATATTGGTGGTTTCTGCATATTTTATCATTGTGTATTGCCACCACCTTTTATCAGGTTCATTAACTGAACCTACACATATTGCTTGAGATGTGTACCAACCACACCAATGGTCAACTTAAACACAGTAGAGGATACAGTCAGCATTTAGTGTGGGATTGGTACAAAGCATTGTAATATGTACATTTGTCAGCAGGGGGCAGCAGTTTATAAGTGTTGTGTGTGCATGTGTGAGGAGTGAGTGACGCCTCACAGACCGGACACTTCTAATCTGCTTCAGTTGTTCGAACCTTTACTGACCTACTTCTTCTGGGATATAAATATAGCTGCACAAAGTGAAGAATTGAATGTATGACACTGCTCCCCTACCCAGTTATACCCACACAAAAAAACATAGAAAAGCCTTTGTCGCACCACTAGTTTTTATCTGACATCTCATCGCCCCTTCCTGAGCCGGTTGTGATGAAATTACTTAGTATTTTCTTGTAAGGAAATAAAGAAACGTGACTAAACATTTTTCATATTACATTGCTATTATAATAAGTATTACATGTTGATTTTTTAAAGAGTAATCCATTTTGAACTCCCATCCATTTTGAAGTGGGTAGGTTTTGAAAGGGCGAGAGAGGGGATGTCTTACGCCTGTGGTGATGGGTGGGCATATATCAATTCAGTTTTTACCAAATGATGTCAAGTTGGAATTTACCTTCGATACAGCAATTTATCATTGGTTGTTCATCTTGATCGGAAAAACCCTCACCTTGCATGGCCACACATCAAGTTGACCAAGGTCTGAAAAGTGTCTTGCAAAATAAATGAGTATAATTAAGTATAAGAAATCCCAGAGGCAGCCTCAACTTGCATTGCCACACATAGCTGTGGATCTAAACTGAACACCACAGGAAATTGCATTAGTTACTTTAATGTTCAAGAAAGCTATTGAATTGAATTCAAGTAAAAGTGAACCTACTGAAACATGTCCAAGTACTTTCAAGTTTGAGCTCAAATGTCAGTGTGAACAGCATTTTCAATTTTGTCAACTCAACAAAACTGAGTAGAGATGTAACAGAAAAATTGTTCGACCGTAGATTTAAAGATTCCCTTCCTGCTAGACCACACTGAGTGTTGTCTGCATTACCTGGCAGCACATTATTATTAAACATTAAATACTAAACTACCCTTAACTACAGAGCAGTAAAATGTAGTCAGCTGTGACTGAATGTCCTGATGGCTCCAGGAAGCTTTACGATCAAACCTGAATATCATGTTCTCCTGCTTTTCATTTTCTCCTACTTTTCATTTTCTCGATCACAAATCAACTATAGCCTTTACTGAGAGAAAAAGATGTATGGGTTTCGATCAATATTTATTTTGCCCCGCTGACATTCTAGCTGCACAGGAATACATTAAATAGACATGTGAAATTTATGAGAAGCAGGCGTGCGTCATCCTTGAGGAAATCTCAGCATGGCCATGGTCATGGATTTTTAGATCCCCTGTGAGGCTACTGTGGCTTGTGTTGCATTTGTATAAATCTCATCTCCTTTTGCAGGAACGCCTCTTCTTTGTGATGGAGTTTGTGAATGGTGGCGATCTTATGTTCCACATCCAGAAGTCCAGGAAGTTTGAAGAGCCTCGAGCGCGTTTCTACACAGCAGAGATCACCTCCGCGCTCATGTTCCTGCACGACAAAGGCATCCTCTACAGGTCTGAGTCACAGCACACTAATAACTTTAATGGCTTTGCTGGGCCTGATAGATTATAACATGTGTGTCCAAAGAAAGGCCCTCAAAGCATTTGTGCTATAGTATAGGTTACTGTAGTAGGTCTCCATCTGAACCAGGTATTTTATCTATTGATGAGTCTCTAAAAGGTATTTTCAAGAATGTTATATATTATTGAGATTTCTAAATCTTTACGCCTTGTTTCACTATTATTTTGTTTTTTGATGGTCATTCCGGTCATTATTCAGAGTAGACCCTCAAGTGTTTAAAACAAAGACAAGCATCTCTTTATGAATGCCTACAGTAGAAATGGCCTCAATTCTTTCTAATCCTCTTTTGCAAATCGTCCAACTTTATTAGAGGAAAATACAAAATCGCAGTAAACTTGTTTTAAGATGGATGTGCGTTTATTCAGCCATTATTTTCTCACTCCCCATTTCAGTTGAAACATCAGAGCACTTTCTGAAGCCATCAATCATATACTCCCCAGCCTTTTCTCAAACCATTAGACCTTAATGAAGTTTCCCATTAAAATGCTCCAGCGTGTTTTGCAGCCAGAAACTTGGGCTGTTTACCAAGCATTTTTATTTTCCTCAAGGCTCATACCATAGAAACAGCAAGTACACAACAGATGTAAACAGACCTACAATTTTAATAATATCATTTTGTGTTCTTTTTTCATATGGTAACCATTTTACTGCTCGTATTCCAGCATCACATATTTCAGTGTTTTTTTTTCAAACCCTTGGGTGCCTGCCGGTGCATGATGATAAGGAAGCCAGCATCATGTGAGCTAAATCCTTGGTTATATTTAGAGGTCCAAGTGTTCAGTGTGGCCTGCACCACATAGCATGACTGTTAGCTTGAGAGGCCACACACAGTTTGCATGCTACAACCAACATGACAAGCCAAAGAGCAGCTTGCACATCAGGCCAGTGTAATAACAGCAGAGCGCCTTAAAAATAAGCAAGCGACCTCAAGTCACTGTAATGTGTTATAAGTACATGTTCTCGTGACTCAACCAGATATATCGCTCTTAGCCATATCGCTTCTAGCCATAGCTGAAGTGGTGCTTTGGACCTTCTGAGTTGTTATTTCAGCAGATGTCCAATTATTATCCGCCTAGGTTTGAAGCTGTGGAAATGCTGTGGTTCATTCATGATATGAAAAACGTCACATTTTGTTGATTACTATATTTCAAATGGTCTGAACCCAGACTGGCTGGTTTGCACCACTTGTCTAGTGAGGAGAGTCTGCAAGAGATAAACACAGTATCATGAACAGCTGATGGTTTCTGATTCATTTATTAAGTTTCATTGAGTACAAGTTTGGCAAGGCAGAGTACAGCTGCCTCAAAACAGTTAGGTATGTACAGTAGGTAATTTTAGAGAGTTTAAAATAAAACTGTTCAAAACAACTCAGACAATGTAACAGCATGAGGAATACAAAGGTGCAACATTAATAGTTGATCAAACGTTTTAGAGTATGAGGAACAACAAATGTCTATTTGTAAAGATGTTAGAAGGCCGTGGTGGTTTGTCTGGATGTACTGGTCTCTTACCCTTGCCACAGTATGAAAAAGTAGTATTATAATATCTGCGTCAGTGTTTGTCAGCACTTCCACTTCTCTTTTTTGGAAATGTTCATATTATTGCAACTTTATCTCTGACCCAGTTAGTGTTTCAGTAGGCAAAGTGATGTGTAATGAAAACTGGGTTTAAAACCATCAGGGTAACGGGCTCATATCTCAGACGACACATTCATAACCAAATCTAGAAACAAATACTACTGGAAAGTGTTTTGAGGCATGAAAATGTTTGGCCATATATCAGAGACACCCACTTAACCATTAATCAGTTGGCTGGCCTCTACGGCACTTTCCTGTTGTGTACTGTACGGCAGAGTGGTAAGAGTAGCTCTCTTTTGGCCTAGATGTGAGGCTGAATGCGACAGAAAGTCCCCATGAACCTCTGAGTCACTGTTACACAATCTGATTATGTAAAGCAAACCAGATTAATACAAACAGGCCAGTGTAGCTTGACCGGCAGCCTCTGTCCATTTTTCATTGAGAATTTCTGCGTTTGTCAACCTGTTTGAGGAAATCAATCAGAGTCCTTGTCTACTGGAAGGACAGGAAATACAAAATATTTTCCTTTTTAACGTTGTATGCTTTTCCCACATGTTGTCATTTATATTCAGCATCAGCCCGTAATATTACAAAGTATCTTCCATACAGCTTCCTCTCCATAAAATGACCTTGGTCTAAAGTTTGGTCACCTGATTGCAGATTAGAGCTCAACTCCAGATCGCACACTTCGAAGGTTTAATCTCCCTGTCAGATGACAAAGCACCAGCTGACAGGGGGAGATCTTTGCCATCCTTTCACATTCACAGATATCACTGGGGAAGATACTTATTTATTCAATTACTATAAATGCATGTTGTTATTGCTTTCTTCGCTGACTGAGGAGCTATGTATATATATTTATTTATGCTCACATGGTGATTCATTAGTTCCACAACACAGAGCACTTCTTATAGTTCTTATAACCAACTACCATCTAATGAAAAATCTTATAACCTTAGTAATAAAGGTAAGTTTGATAATGTGTAGCAAGGATGTCGCTTGAACTAACTCTTCTATAGGTCTTTTAATAATATAATTTGTATTATATTTGTACTATTTGATAATAGTAAAATATGGATTAATTTCAGTTTTTTAATCCAGGTTTTGCCTCTCCTGAATTCAGTCTAAATATTGACATTAAAGGACTTTTCCTTGGTGCCAGCTTAAGTGGTCATCTGATTCTTCATGGCAGCCATTTAACATTCAGGCTGTCTGTCACCGTCTCCCTCTGCTACAGGAGCTTCACTGTCCTCAGGAGACCTTCTCTTTTTGTCTCACCACAAATGTCCACCTCCATGGGATATAATTAGAAACAACACCGACAGGGTGTGACTGCAGTCTGACCACAAACTTGACATTTCTGCAGTTGTTGGCGTAAATTACATTTTTTCATGGGTGATGATTAGTGAGTAAACATTTTTAAATATATCCCATTTTTATAGAGCAAGGTCACAAATCCAAGAGTAACATTGTTAGAAATAACCATATAAAGCATTTAATAGAACCAACCAATAAAACGTGAGTAACAACAGACTTTATAAACACAAAAAGTTGCCAACACCAGACATCATGAGGGCCATTTGAATAATAGCTTCCAGCTTTACTCTGTATTATTAATAATCGTGGCTAACAATGTCCCAAAACAGATATTTTATTTTCTGGTTCTTTCTATGTTTGTCTTTCAGGGATCTAAAACTGGACAATGTTCTTCTTGACCAAGACGGTCACTGTAAGCTGGCGGACTTTGGCATGTGCAAAGAGGGCATGTTTGAAGGCACGGCCACAGGAACCTTCTGTGGGACTCCGGATTACATTGCGCCCGAGGTTAGTCTCTGCTCTTGTGCTTAAAAAACTCACTGTAACTTTACCCTTAACTACCTATAATGACAGACATCTGGACCCTTTATTCACCTCACCTGCGTTACAGCACATTTTCATATATTTTTGTTCTGTTTTATATCAGTTTACCAGATTGCAACAAGAGAAACATAGAACACATTTCCTTCCAACTTTCAACTTCCTGTAACCGAGGTCTTCTGAGTTCATTTGACGCAGTTCCCAGTGCCTTCCTCTCTCCATCACACCACCCTACTATAAACCAACACTGCGCTCAGTGCCTGCCACTCAAACTCTCTCCTGACTTACTGGAAGTCAAATTGTGAAAGGCTCGACTATAGACATGACAAGCCTTAATCCCCTTATTACAAATGTGCTTGGTTTTCATATTGAGGGATTAAGATGCTCTGTGTCCTCATGTTTGAGAGACTTTTCTGTGAGTCTGGATTTATGAAAGGCTTCTTTAACAGTCAACACTTGCTCCTCAGTGTAGCCTCACTGGCAACACACTAACCCAACAGTCTATTAATCCTACCACTTGTTTTTTTTTAAAAGTTGCTTTCAATGCTCTCTGTGCTGTGGTGGTTAACTTTAATGCTGCGGCATGTTTCCACAGATCCTGCAGGAGATGCTATACGGGCCCTCTGTTGATTGGTGGGCTCTCGGGGTGCTGCTGTATGAGATGCTGTCAGGACACGCTCCATTTGAGGCTGAAAATGAAGATGACCTCTTTGAATCCATCCTCAATGAAGAGATTGTTTATGCATCTTGGCTCAGTGATGAGGCAGTGACTATAATCAAATCTGTGAGTCCAGGTTCATTTTCATCAACTTACTTAATAGGGCTGCATCCAATGATTATTTAGATGTCATTATTGAAAAAGCTATGTATTTTTATTCAATCTTAATTGAATTTAATATGAATCATTGTATCATCTGGTTTTATAATGTAAGAAAACCATTCAATGTCCAAATCCAAGGTAATATCTTGTTCTGTGAGTTCAACCCCAAGGATTTCCGTTTAATATGATATTAAGCAGAGAAAAGCAGAACATCTCCAGAGTTAAGGGTTAAGGGTTAGAGTTAAGAGGCTGAATCTACCGCTATTTTTGCTGTTAGTTTTAATTGATTATCAAAATAGTTGGTGAACATTTTCGTGTTGATCCAATAATCAATAAGGTGAATAATCATTGCAGCCCTATTGATGGATAAAGCTGGATGTAGTAGCTGCTGTGTTATTTATTTTTTTGCCAGACATTTTCCATCCCCCGATTGCCTCCGTCTGACATTTTACACTATATATAATTGCAAGACATGTCATCGAAACTTTTTTTTAAACCAAACTAATGATAGAGGAAATCAATTCCTCACATGACTGGTTGGAGAAAAACCAATAAGTTGTGAACATTTTCTAAAAGACTAATTCCCAGCATTGTTGGACAGAGTAACACGAGCCTGCTCCATGATATGTTAAAATGTCAAAGGTTGGACGGCTTTGCTCTGCATTTCTGTGATCAGGGTTAGTTATTTGTTGTCCTTCAAAGTGACTGACAGCCCTGTGGAGCTCTGCCAGCCAGCTGTTTGGCCAGGGTCTCTTACATACTGTAACTATATTAAGGCATGGTCCACTGCAGCCACAGCACACAGGCTATAAATACGACACGCCTCCTCCCTCCCTCCCTGTTCTCCTCCTCTTATCCTTGTTGTTACTCCAACATGCTTGAGGAAGCACAGGACCCATGTCCCCTGCTGATTTGTGTTACTGCTGCCAGAGTCACATGTTGCGTAGAGATGCTTGTTGCCGGTGTGATGGGATTTGAACGCTGCTGCACTATTTATACTGCAAGTTCATCTTTGCGAGGTGCTCCTCGTGCATGCAGGCCATTCAGTTGGAGCTCAGTTAAGTTCATTTTGAGTAATAAAACAATACATTTTGATAATTGATAAATCCTCTTTTCTATGCAGCATCAGAAAAAAGTATAAAGTGCCCATCACAATATCTGTGAGCCAAAAGCTGATATCCTCAATGTCCTTTCCTCTACTGTCAGCCATCTTTTCAAAACGCAAAGAGGTTTGATTTATATTTGTGTTAGACTCCTCCACATTACATAACCTGGAAGCATAACAAATTATATATCTGATTAATAGAAAATCAAAAACATATATATTAAAATGCCCTAGCCCTAGTAATTTCTGATGACCTTGTATGTTTCTGCTAGTGTGGTGGAGAATGGCTTCTTAATTCAGTAATGCTGTCGTGTCAGGTCTGGTGCTGCTGAGGATGGAAAGAAGGCATCAGTGTTATAGTTTCCTTAAGTTTTGTGGTCTGTAAGCTCCTGAACCGATTGACCCCTGCTGGTCTGTGTTTGTTATTTCCACTTCAAGGCCATACTGGTGCACTGCTGTGGTTTTTAAATAAGTTTGAACTCAATAACTGCAAATCACGTCATCACAGTCATGCTTACAGCTGCAAATCCCCACATGCAACTGCATAAGCATTAAACTATAATGTTTCGTCCCCAAAGAAGAATGTCTAAAAAATATGTGTTTTAATTTACACTTCAACACTAACATTGTACAAGAACACTGAAGCAAGCAAACATAAACATCACCTGCAAGCACAACATCAACAACAACCTGAGAGAAGGATGTTATACAACAACACATAAGCGGAGGGGGATTTACAGTAAAGTGCCTAACGATTAATGATTCATTTCCTTGGTAACCAAGGTTTTTAAATCTACACACATACTGCAGGGCTGCTCAGGGACAGTCTGTTATATCAGCAGATATGCAGTGATTAAATAGATTCTTCAACTGGAAGGAAGATGTCCTGTTGTGTCGATGCAAGATTCAAGTCTCTGCAAGTTGATTTTTATGGTGTGGCATGTGTCTGAGGCTTGTCTGATTGTGAGCTACAGGACTAAACTATGCAAAACCAACATTAGGGTGTTTTATATTCACCATTTCCTCTTTATCTTTTCCTCTCAACATAAGTGCCATTCTATTTATTTGACGTCTCTCTAATCAGCTTTCTCTTTCTTTGTGAACTTAGCTTTGCAGAGGTATGTGAGGTTGTTAAGGCCGCTGTTAGTTAATAGTGTTTTGAGCTGATAGCTGTATCGATCTTTCCAATGTCTTTGGGTTAGTCTGCTCACTGTCGCTGTGCAGACAGAGGTTTGTTGTGGCTTTGTCTGAATGCCCAGACAGAGCTGTCCAAAACACTTCAATATTGTTTTTTTTTTTGTTTTTTTCAGTTTCCTCCCAGAGGCAAGTTAACACAAAGTTTTCCAATTTTGAGTTTGTTTTGTTTGGACCCATCCCTCTATATTTCTGGCAGAGGGACAGATGTAGCTGATTAACTATTCTATTGTTTTATTGTTTGTGAAACCAGGAAGTTGAGACACCTCAGTTGCACTGTATTGAACTAAGCTGAACTCTCTTTAGATAAAGCATTGTAGGTGGCGCCAGTAACAACACAGGGTGAGTTTTTTCATAAATTGGGAGGAAGGGATTGACTGGATGTCACGCTGGCTCAAGTCGAGTTTGGCACTTCTCCAAAAACATTCTGGTCTGATCTAGTTGAATAACATGAGTCATATTTCCTCACTATGTAGAGATGCAACAAAGTATAATTTGCTGTTTTCAACCAGTTTAGTCCTACTTGGTTGTTGCTGCTGTTATGTGTCATATTTTTTTGAAAATTGACACCATTTTAACATTTCTTATTTAGTCTTAAAAGTACAGTTCATTCCAAAATCCTCTTACCTGTAGTGCTATTTATGAATCTAAATTGTTTTGGTGCAATTTGCCTAGTGTTTCAGATAGAGGCCATAAAGATCTAAACTCAACAACATTTTTTGTTTCCCACAAAGTACAAACTAAATAATACCTTCATGAAACTGCTCACTAGGTCTGTTGACTATCTTGAGTAACAGGGTCAGTTTTTCTGAAATAAGACATTGCTTTTGAGTTCTTGATGTATATTTATTTTGTTAATTGAAGCACCACAAGCCAAATGCCCTCTAGTTAAACAATATTTCATGAAAGGCAGACACCTCTACATTAGGTATATCCAACAAGTGACTATAGAATACTGTTCCTTTTAAGTTTCTTCTGTAAGGTCATGAATCTTTTGGTTTCCCCAGTTCTTGACCAAAAACCCGGCCCGGCGTCTGGGCTGTGTGGCCTCAGAGGGCGGAGAGAGCGCTGTGACCAGCCACGCCTTCTTCACTGGCATCGATTGGGAGAAGCTGAATCGTAGAGAAATAGAGCCGCCCTTCAAGCCAAGGATCGTAAGTTACATTAATAACTTTATGGATAGCTTGATAGTGTGTGTATAAATGATAAGCAAGACACTCAGCAGACATTACGTAATGATTGACCTTGTCTTAGTGACTGCAACCATGGTTTTTGCTAAAATGTTGCAGCTGATGAATCATTTTGTATTTTCCCCTTCAGAAAACACCTGAAGACGTCAACAACTTTGACCCAGATTTCACGCAGGAAGAGCCCACCCTCACGCCCATCGATGACCCTATGATCCCTTCCATCAACCAGGAGGAGTTCCGTAACTTCTCCTTCACCTCGCCTGAACTGCAGGAGAGCTAAGAGTCTCCTCATTGATCCACAATTCTTCCTGTACTCTCACTCTTCCCAGTATCCGTGAATCGCCTGAGACTGTTCCCCGCGGTACATGCAGTATGTTGCTGTCAAATTCCCCAGAGACATGAGGGTGCAAATTGCCGAGGAGTCAGACACACACATGCTTGACAGGAACTGGTTTTGCACCTGATGAACCCTTACCTTAAGCACTCCTGTATTTCTCGAAAATGTGCCATGTAATCATCTTTTGAAATACCATTTAAGTCTTGACGTCTCACTTGGGACACATTCCTGCTAGTGTCATTGTGTAAATGGTGTATTTGATATGTGTTTGATAAAGTGTACAACCACTGATTTTACTCTGGATGAGTTTGCGTCCAGTTCCTTAAAATGAAAAAGCCCTTTTCGAAGCATAAAGGCGTGCTTTGTGTTTCATTTTTTGCTCCAGAATTTTCTAGAGAAAGGAAAAATTTGTCCAGTTGGAACCGTCCAGTTTAAATCCTGGAAATACTGAGTGAGCAGATGAGATCGTTTTTCAATGATGTCACCCTACTCTGTAAGAAAACGTATTCACACAGACACACATACTGGTAAATTGACATTTGAACAATTTACACAGATGATTTGTCTATAGCCCCTGTCAGTTCCAGATAATAGAGTAGATAATGTCTTCATCAATCATACCCTGCAAAAGATTTTGGCAACGATTAGCCGATTAGGTAATTTGATCAGGCATGTTGAGAATGATGCAACACTTCATCAGAGGTGAAAACTCAGTGGTGATTCAGGCTTACTGTGAAACAACCAGAACTTTTGATATTACCACACAGTTGTCCGGGGATAGGAAGAATGCTAGGATGGTGTTTGGTAACTGTCAGATTAAATTGAGTCTTTGTGCGTCGCAAGAGTAAAAGTAATCACTTTGTGAGTCCGCAGCTCTCTGCTTACACACACACACACACACTCAGAAAACTCAGTCATAGAAAGCTTTCAGGTCCGTAGGCAGGCTGCCTGGGTAAACAAAGGAGCATTTTCAAATCTGCAGATATTAAAAAGGCTCCCAGCTGAACTTTTAAACCACCGTCGCTGTGAGAATATAAAATGAGGAGGCAGACAGAGAGAAAGAGTGAGAACTTGAAACTTTAACCCTGCAGCTGGATAAGATTGGCCAATCATCATCATCGAGGGGGCTTTAGTAGATCATTCCGTCGTTGCAAACCAGTAGAGGATAAACAGGAAACCACACAACGTCATGACTGTCGCTTTTTGATAGAAACAGGAAGACACAAGAAGACAAGAATGATGCTGTTGCACTTTAAGAAGCATGCATTCAGTACAGTATGTGCTGTTGGTGGTATAAGTATAAGAAACTGTTCAAATAAAACAACAACAAAGGGAAAAGCTACTTGTATTGTTAGGAATCTTGTGCTCCCTCTTCTCTACCTGCAGACACACAAACAGCTTCGACCTTACAGAACGGAGATGGTCTCTTCCTGTTGGTTACAGGGAGGAAGGCTTCAGGCACCACATCTGTTTATCTCCTCAGCCCCCTATCCTGTGGAAGAATGTGCGACTGAATACAAATGGGTGGCATCCGATAAAGAAAAGGCCTGTGTGTATAATCTGAAACTGAAAACAGTATCTCAAAAGTAGCTACTGCAAAGTTCTTTTTACTTACGAATAATACATTTGAACAAGTATGAGATCCTAAGCTCTACTTATTGTGAGTCAATCCCAGTTAAACATCATTAACCATGACTTAGAAGTGCATTGATTTCAGGGACTTAACAACCATCTAATCCACTTCAAGCATGCTCAAACAAAGATGAGCTGTGTGTGCTATACAAAGAACGGGACATTGGATTAAATTACTTTACTTTTTGTTTACCCATTAATGTGGCCCTGTTTGGCAGCTTTCCTCCGGTAATGTCTGAATGAGACGCAAGATTTAGGAGCCTTGTCTCCGCTTTCATTACTGAGACTTACTGATGGCTGCCAGCAGTGTCTCTGCACCGCTCGATTGAATCTGTGTTCGACCCTGCTGTCCTGGCTGTATGATGGATATCCCCGAATGTGGCAACAGATAAGGACAAAAGAGATGCTTTACATAGACATCACTGGGACTTTTTGTGCATCAACACGGAATCAGTTCTGTGATTAAGCACACACACTCAGCACCCCAGCCTATAGTGGTTGCATTAGATTATGGTTCTTACCCTGAGTAGGAATCGACTTAAAAAGCAGAATCCAATCAACCAGTGGTTGCTATTACAACAACAATGCAATCTTTCCCACACATTACAACATTTCTCTTTGAAAGTATTGTGTTAATGGTTTTGTTGCACAGCAGAGAGTGCTCTTACAGATATAACTGGAAGAGCATGTGTTCACCTTTATGAAATGACTAAAAGAGTAGAAAAAAGGTGTGGCTAGCACCTTAGACTTCTTCCAGACAATCATATAGTTTATCAGAATGACTAAATAAATAAACATCAGTTGCTGCAATTGTGTAATCTTTATTGCAATTACCTGTTACACACAATTTGTAACACATTGTCAGTCCTCTCTGGTAAAGCTCAGCTACTAGCATAGTGTAAGAACCCTGTAAATCCACATAATATGCTTTTCAACAGTTTTCTCATCCACACCTGTTTATAGGCCAACCAAAGAAATTCACAAAGTATTGCCTAGCTATACCAGGCCTTCCTATGTATTTGTTGGTCCGTGATTCAAAGTCTGAGTCTCACACACACTGACGTGCCAACAGTTCTGAGAAGTGACGACCAAAGCATTGCCCAAATGTCTCATAGCCAGATGTTAAAACCAACCATGGGATAAGTAAGAGGATGAATAACTGTATGGCAAAATATAAAAGAGAAAATTGAATGAGCTGTAAAAGTGGCTGGAAAATGATTTTACAAACATCATGTCTTCCAAATCCAGAGCTGAATGCCAGGCAATTTGAATAATTTCAGTGCAGGAGAGAAGGAGCCTGCCTGACTGGACAGAAATCTCTAAAGCACTTCTCTAAGCCAGTGAATGTTAAGTATAATCTATTTTTTTTAACTCCAAAGCACACACAAGCAATAATGTTGTGCTTGTCACTGAAGATAATATGTCTCAAATGTAGAAATACCTACTTTCTAATAACGATTATATGATCATTATCTTTTTACATCACCATGTACCACTCTGCTATAACATTGTGAAAATATTGGGAGTCTGGTAAAGTGAGGTGAAGAGATATCAACACAGAAAATCCCTTTCTCCTTATATATGTAGTTTGCACACAAACACTGATTACATCGTTTGAAATTATAACATAATTTTTTCAGTTTAAAATAACATATGTGTAGGAACTGGAGGGGGACAGGGCAGGGTGAGGTAAGGACAGACGACATGAATCTGACTCAAGTCATGTCAAGTATTATCAAAATAAAAGAAACTGTTTAGGTTTGACATTTGAACAGGATTTATTTGCAGCCAAAGCAAAAGCACAGCCATGGTTGTCCTCTACCCCTATGTAAACTCCTGTAAACACGACCTAAATCAGCAAAACGCAGCTCCTGGAAATCCAGAAATGTAACATATAGTATGTCTTTGTACACAGTACAGAATACTAACATGATGCAAAACAGATATAAAAAGCACTTAATTTATTTTATACTTTTACTTGAGTTCAATTTTGAATGAAGGACGTGTTACCTGTATCTGAGTATTTAATTATTTCTAGTAGTGCTTTACTTAAGTAAATCATCTGAGTGCTTTTTCCACCTCTGGTCATAGATCACAGTGAATGTGAAAGTGTTATGGTATGTGGCTCTACACGGGTTGCCTGTGCGCGTCCTCGGTGGAGAAGGCATGTGACTGCGCGCCCCCGCGGCGGCAGGAGGAGGAGCCTCTCAGCAGCTTCATACTATTGGCTCTCAGCGCAACTGTCTGTCTCCGCGAGTAACCTCTCTCTCCAGCGTGGCACCATTTCTACAGTACATAAGAGTAGAGGAGTGGGCTTTTTTAGCGGATGAAAGCTTGATTGCTTTGACAAAATATACACAGTGAAAACTCGTATGCAAAGCGCCTGAGGATTTACGGATTTATATCTGTTCATAAACGCGGTATTTTGGTTCATTTCTCGACGGCCCGGATACGGATAGAGAGATTCAACTCGGGTCCTTTCGTCCTGACATGGACACAGGAACTGTACCAGAAAAGAAAAGGTAACGCCGATGCGAGCTAGTGCTACACAGCAGGCTATGCTGTTGTTTGAGAACTGACTTAACAACTTTTGTCTTCAAATGCCATTTGTTTTCTTCTCTTGGTGTGGCCTAATGTGATTTATTTCAAGGTTAACTGTTAGTTGAGCCGCGTGTTTTGTCGACAAAATGCGCGTGCTGGCGACGCTATTATGGTTAGCTTGATGCTAATAAAGCTGGCTAGCTGTCATATAGCTGTTGACGTTTGTTTACATCTAACGATATACCTAAGGCCTGTACTACGAATCCAGTTCAAGATACCCTGGATATGTTTGAGTTATCTGGCTTAACTAACCCTAACAAACGCGATCTCGCTAAACGGTCCTACGACGCTGGTTATCAACTCGGTAAATCAACCCAGGATTTGTTTCTCTGTCCACTGGCGTCCAGCTAAGAGGGCGTTCACGTGGAAGGCATGGATTGATACATTTTCATGTATGTAATTGTTTTTCCTGCACAGTGTCGAGTCTTGTTGGATACAGGTATTTCATAAAAAAACTTGCTCGCTGGAGAATAGCTACAGAATTGATATAATTGAGCTGATCACAACTTGTCACAGATAATCCAGTCATCTCGAAGCTGCTTTCGGGCTGTGAATAAACAACTTGTGTTTTACTTTTAGGCTGTCTGAAGGTATGGACAGCTATTAAAGCTGCTATACATCACATTAAGAACGATGTACAAAAATTAAAGTCGGAGGACACAAATATATTATTTAAATGAATTTAATTCAAGTTTTGCAATGTTTTGAACCAGGCCAAATCCACACAGTCACCTTACTTTTTATTTCGGATACCTCCTGCTTTAAAGTTAATTTGGCTTTGCATGCTTAATTTGTTTGTACGTTTTTTGTAGTCTGTGTTGAAGAAACCTTCTGAAGACTGTAACATTGGCTCCCATTTACATTTGTTGTAATTCTGACACATACCCTTAATGTTTCCAATTAACAGTGGTGTACTGTTTGTTTTGTGGATTGTTGTCAGCATTGAATAAGTGGAAAGCTGCCCAGCCTCACGTGATGCAGCGCTGGAGATGAGGTGTTGGAGGTTTCCTGATGAAAATATTTAAGGTTGCTTGTTTGTTGCTTTGGGTTTGATTTTCTCAAT